TGTGGCCTGTAGAATCCATAATTTCAAACAGTTCCAAGATTGGGCTACTAGTTCAAAAGTTACAGCCCTTTGAATTTTTTTTCGAAATTGGTTTCTAGTCTATAACTTTTGATTGAGAAGTCTAATCGGAAAAGTACGAATTGATTTGGATTCTACGCACCCAAATTAATAAGAAAAAGTGTTTTCCCGAGAAATTTTGGTGTAGTCGATTTTTGGCAAAAAAAGGAAGGTTATACACTGCCTTTTTTTGAGCCCCGAAAAAAAAATTGTCTCAGATCGACCGGGAAAAAAAATGTTCTTATAAAATGTACCCTGTAGAATCCATAATTTCAAACAGTTCGAAGATTGGGCTACTAGTTCAAAAGTTACAGCCCTTTGAATTTTCTTTCGAAATTGGTTTCTAGTCTATAATTTTTGATTGAGAAGTCTAATCGAAAAAGTGCGAATTGTTTTGGATTCTACTCCCCAAAGTTAATAAGAAAAAGTGTTTTCCCGAGAAATTTTGGTGTAGTCGATTTTTGGTAAAAAAGGAAGGTTATACACTGCCTTTTTTTGAGCCCCGAAAAAAAAATTGTCTCAGATCGACCCGGAAAAAAAATTTTCTTATAGAATGTACCCTGTAGAATCCATAATTTCAAACAGTTCGAAGATTGGGCTACTAGTTCAAAAGTTACAGCCCTTTGAATTTTCTTTCGAAATTGGTTTCTAGTCTATAATTTTTGATTGAGAAGTCTAATCGAAAAAGTACGAATTGTTTTGGATTCTACGCCCCAAAATTAATAAGAAAAAGTGTTTTCCCGAGAAATTTTGGTGTAGTCGATTTTTGGTAAAAAAAGGAAGGTTATACACTGCCTTTTTTTGAGCCCCGAAAAAAAATTGTCTCAGATCGTATCATGAAACATTATGTCATTGCTAGAATGCTTTATCGCAAGACGATTCTGTTCATTTTTTGGTGCTTTTACAGCTTTCGGTGTAGTCATAAAAAAGACGGTCTCCTTCCTACAACTACGATACGGGGCCTAAACGCGTTCTGACGCATTCAACGTGAGATTACAGCTAAAGTATTGGAGATACAAAAAAAATGTAAATACTCTTTTTTATAGGGAATTTAGTAAACTATATTTTTCATGTAAACTATTTCTTCGTATCAGTAATAGTTGCCGAGATGGGCAAAAAACTGGAAAAGTATACCGTTTTTCCAAGATGGCGTCTCGAGCGCAACAGATTTTGAGAGGGACTTTTAGTATGTTCAATAGAAAGTCCCAATAAATGTGTATACCAAAATTCAGATCTTTACCGATTAATGTTTTTATTTGTCCAAAATTGCGCTAATTTGACTGAAAAGGAAAAAAATTTGCACAAAACTTGTAGGATGAGATTATTATTAAGTTAACGCATATTATATATTTTCCCCGATAATCCACAGTTTTCAGACTTACCAGCAACCCTGTATATTAATCAAATTTTCAATCGGAAATGAATCCATATTCAACACATATTTCATCCAGTCTATCGATATTAACTTTTTACAGCGCAAACGTGTTGAAGTTCTTTATATTCCAAAAGCACAAGTTTATTAGAAGGTGTATTTATTCTTTGGATGAAAAGAATACAATTTTTCAAATATTGACTGACAGAATATTGTTTACTTTGTCAATTCATTATATCCACAACGCCTGCTACTTAACCTTGTTTTAGTTCAAAATGGCAATTAACATATTTACTTTAACACTTTCCCATGTTACTGACTTTTTAATCCAAAAATACGGAAAGCACATCATAAAAGTCCCATTTTTGCACACAACATTTTGATTGCTTTCTTGTCTTTCTTTCGTACATACACAATTGGGACACTAGTTCGTCAAAAGTGTTTTCTTCGTTTTTCCAAAATAACATCCAACTAGATCTGAAATTCTCGAAATCTTCTGGTAAAATTTGCAAAACTTTACAAACAAAGAGTAAATCCGGCAGTTCATTTTCTGCCTTGGATTTTAAACCATTGTTAAGCTCACTCCATAAATTTCTCAGTGTGGCAACGACTCGACTTTGGACTTTGAACTCAGACTCTTTGAGTAAACTGAGACCCATAACCTATTGAAGTTTTTTATATTCCAATAGCGCAATTAAAAGGTGTATTTATTCTTTGGATAAAAAGAATACAATTCTTCAAAAATTGACTGACAGAATAACTGGCACTGGCTTGCGTTATAAACTATAAACCCTTATAAAAATCCATTTGTGAATAGGTCTTAAATCATTCGAGAAAAATTTAAATATTTCGGCTAAATCTCACACACGTATGCCATTTAATAGGAACGTTTTTCCTCATTCCCCTGAATTAGTTTCCCCCGCTTCGTTATCGACAAACGCTTCCGCAATCTATTTACGTTTAACGGTATACGCTTTAAGAATACAGATGTAATCGTATTTTAAACGGTATCGCATCTTTCTCTGCCTTCATAGGAACTTCACATCATCGAGACGCGTCGGCGTCGGTAACATATTCCAGATTTGGCAATTTTGATGGATGTCATTTCCACGTGTCAGCGCGTGTAATTCGCCCAAACTATTGGAGTGCGGTATCAGTGTTGAAGTCTACATGGAGCACTTAAAAAAATCCACATTAGCCGAGGACTTGAGCGATCTAGAGAACGACTTTAAGCACAACTTGAATTTGTTAAGGCTGAAGGATTTGGAAATTCAACGGTAAGCTGTTACTATTGTATTTGTTTGTGCTTTTTACGTAAGCTTTAGATAAGTAACAAGTCAGGTGAACACGGCCTCGATTACGACGCCGTTACAAAGTGTCAGATAGCGCTTTTAGCTTGTGTTACCTTTATATTTACCACTTTTCTCTTGTTTTATCTTTTCCACGAGAGATACCAACTTATTGGATGCTCAATTTACTGTTAATAGTAGATTTACATTAGATTACATCCATTTCGCTCGCCCTAACTTACAGGGATTTCATTTCAAAACGAACCAGAATAATAACTCACGAGATCTGCCAGTTAGTCATATCTGGGAAACGGGATTCACTTACGATAGCTTTTCCGTCAAGCGCGCCTCCGGGGGGGGGGGGGCGTTAACTTGGTGCAGATTCAGTGACTCTATAAAGACATTATGACCACACAGTGGTATTATTGTCTATTGGTAATGGATTACGACTTCAGTTAAAGGAAAGGATGGAAGATGAACTGATAAAAACGGACATAGATATTACAGAGGGGGGAAAATAGAGAGAGAGAAAACGGTAGGTAGAAGGAGCGGATAAAGAAGTCGTTGCCGAAATACCTAAGCGAGGGAAGAAAAAATATTATGATAATTATGCGAAAACGAACAGAGAGGAAAGAAGAAATGGATAAAAGACAAAAGGAAAAGCAAAATTTCCGGAGAGATGGAGTACATGCTATGAGAGAAATGAATTAGGTTGATTTTGGAAATAAAAAAAAGGAAACATACATTCTGTGTTCTGCGGGAAAAGAATGAGAAAAAATAAAGAACAACATAACGATAAAGGAGAGACGGGAAAAGGGAAAGAAAGAGAGAATATAGCAATGGCTGAAAGAAAAGCTACAGGTAGAGGCGAGGACAATTGATCTAGGGGGAAATAAAATAGTCGCGGAACTAACATGGGAAAAGAAGAGGGAACTAATGAGAGGTAAGGGAAGGTTAAAAAGAAGCCGGACATACAGATATAGCGTACTGACTGAAAGAAGCGTACAGAGAGAATTTAGAGAGAACGGAGGGAGAAAGAGGAAAGGGTAAAAAAATGGGGATGTAGGAAATCAATGGTGGAAGACATAGAATAGAGTTGGAGTAACAAAAAGTAAAGATTAGCGACACCAAAAAGGATCTAAACAGGAAAGGGAAAGGCTGGGTTTGGGGGAGATTTGAGCAATAAAAGAGAGGGCAGGGAGAGAGAGGAGAGTTAAGAAAACAGACACGAACAGCAAAAGAAAGGAGTAAAGCGGAATGGAAAGGAATATGAGTAACATGAAGATGTTGTTCTGGAATTTGGCGGGGATAGCAAGTAATTGGAAGTGGTGGAATCATGGATAGAAGAAAAGAACTGGGAGAAAATAAAGAATATGATACCGGATGAATACAGATGGAGGAACTCACTCGCAAAAGGGGAAGATCCAAAGGAGGCAGTTTAACAGAGGTAAAAAACATATAAGGAAATGGGGGAATGAAACGTACGAGGAAGAAGGCATATAGCAATGACAAGTGGAAGTAGAGGGGAAGATGATGGGCGCGATAACGATATATAACAGAAAAGAAATGAAAGAGTTAAAAAAATAACAAATATGAGGACGAGAGGCTAATAGTGGGAAGAGGGGGGTGGGGGATTTCAGAACAGGGAATAAAGGAAATTGCATGAAGATGGGAAGAGCAACACAAGATTCAGAAGTTCATGAGGAGGAGTTGTTACTGGAAATACAATTATGGACAAGAGACAAGGTGGAGGACTACAGGAGACTTGAGGGGCAAGTATACAAAATAGGCGAGAGCACAGAGGTGTGGAATATATGGAGGATTGTATTAAAAAGGAAATAATATAGAAACAGGTAAAGAAAGAGGAAGGGAGAGATAAAAGAAAAGAGTGGTAGGACAGAGAATGCACAGAAGAGAGAAACAGATACAGAGGATGGAGAGAAAAAGAAAGGAAGATATAATAGGAGAAGGAGAGAATAAAACAAGTTAAAAAGATGGTCACTCGCGATCGACCAAAGCACATTTTCCCCACACAGTATCAGTAGTAATCAGGAAAGCTAGTGAATAATCCAAAAAATCTTTTGTCATTATTGTCATGGGGGCTGTTAGTACTACACCCTATATGAAAGAAACCACAACGAAAAAGCTTAAACAGGAGGGTAGTCAGTAGTGGTACAGACGGACAAATTCCGGACAATAGCATTCATTTTCTTTTTGGAAAATACGCTATAAAAAGGAACAATAAATATGCCAGAAAAAAATATGAAGAAGCAGAAAGAATATGAAAAAGAAATCAGGGAAATAAAAAAAGAGAAGAACTTTTGGAAGATGATTAACAGAGAAAAGAGAAAACACATACAAGTCGAGGACTAGAAGCAGCCCTTTATGAAGGTACTACAAGGGAAGAAAGAGAGAAAGAGTATGGGATAGACGATAGAGTATGAGGAAAGAGAGGGTGGAAGGAGACGAGATATCAAAAGAAGAGATGGTGCAACAATTAAAGAGACTGAAGGAATAGCCGGCGGCAGAGAGGAGACAAAATATTATTTGAGGCATGGATTTTCGCTACAGATACTATTAATGAGAAGCTAAGGATACTAATAAACAAGATATGGAAAGGAGGAGGATTAGCGGAAAAATGGAAGGAAGGGGTGGTAGGTACAAAAAGGGAGACGGGGACTGTACGAACAATTATAGGGGAATTTGAATACTGACACCGGCGTTGAGGAGCCTAGGAAAGCAGTGTTTTTATGCACTACCTTTAGATGTGCAGTTGCCAACCACCTCTTTCAACCCTAGTTTCAACCACTAAAGGGAATTGTTGTTCTCACACGAGGTAATTCAGGGTGAGGTTAGGTTAGAGTACACTAGTTAGGTTACACGAGAAATTTTGTATCAGGAGAATATAACGTGCGAGGAGATTGAAGGTTAGGATAAAGTATTAGTGAGGTTAGCTTAGAGTGACAATTAGGTTAGGTCAGAAATCTTGTATCAGGAGAATATATGTGCGAGGAGATTGAAGGTAAGGATAAAATATTAGTGAGGTTAGGTTAGAGTGACAGTTAGGTTAGGTCAGAAATCTTGTATCAGGAGAATATAACGTGCGAGGAGATTGAAGGTTAGGATAAAATATTAGTGAGGTTAGGTTAGAGTGACAGTTAGGTTAGGTCAAAAATCTTGTATCAGGAGAATATAACGTGCGAGGAGATTGAAGGTTAGGATAAAATATTAGTGTGGTTAGACTAGTGTGATAGTTAGGTTAGGCCAATTTGGTTTAGGCGTCTAAAATTTTGACAAACTAATTTGCCCTAACCTAACTAGCACTCTAACCTAACCTCACTAAAACTTACCTAACTTTCAATCACCTTCTCGAGTGTCCCTATGCCCGAGGTCCGCACAGGTGCCGTCCCGTCGCTTTTTGATTCTGTAGGTAGGTGACCATGGTGCGTTTAATCTAGGCCACACGGTATATAATGGTGGAAAATGAATTGGAAAAAAAGGCGGATCTAAGGGCAGCGTTTGACAGAGTAGAAAGGGAAAAAGTATGGGAAATGATGGAGGATGATAAAATATACAATTGTTAAAGAACAGAATTAAGGAGTTATATGTAGACAAGAAATAGGGTAAGGATAGGAGGGAAGGAGTCAGAAGTGTTCTAGAAAATAAAAGGATTGATACAGGGATGCCCACTTATATTAAGACAGGGTCAAAGTGGAGGAATCGTGACGGGAAGAAAGGAGATATGGTCCCTGACTTACTTGGATGACACAGTATTGTTGGCAAGAGAAGAACAATAGAAGAACTAAATGCGGAGAAGAATAAAGAGCAACTGGGAAAGAAAAGGAATGGAATTAACTTTCCAAAATCGAACATTTGAGAAAGGGAAAGTAGGAAAAGTATGATAGAATGGAAGTGGAAATGGCAAAGGGCGGAGGATACTAGGATATCAAATGCAAACGCACAAAATTAAGAAAAAAGGGAGAAGTGGCGATGAGGCAAGGAGAGAGAATTTTAAAAATGTTTTCAGATTAAAAAAACACTTTTTTGACGCAATGGTAAAAGGGGTGTTGGGATGAATTGGAACGAATACAAAGAAGGTACTACAAATGGGTACTCAGACTAAACAGAAGGACACCAAATTACACACTAGAGGAAGAAATAAAAATGGAAAAAGATAATGATAGATAGTATAAGATTCGACGAAAGGAGAACGCAAATTGATGAAAGAAGGGTTAGCAACGAGGATGAACACAAAAGGGATTTGGTGGGAACGAAGAAAAAACTATAACGAGAGAAAAGGATACGTAGGGCCAGAGGGCGCAAGGACGAGAGAAATAGGGGAAATGGAAAAAGAACTTGCAAAAAGGTACACCTGCGGATAGTGAGGATCAAGAATTTGAAGAGGAAACGAAAAGTATAGGGAGCTGATAACGGATGGGGTGCCTTAGTGTTTAACGGAGAGAAAGACAAACATTAAAATAATTGCAAGGTTGAAATGCGGAAATGAGGAAAGGAGAAGTCGATTTGTTTGCATGTACACAAAGTGCGCAAGCCGGCCTCCGCGATTCGTCCCGTTTTCGCAACACCCACGTGCCTGTAAATGTGTTGATATTATAGGGTGAATATAAAATAAGATTATGAACTTTAACTGCGTATTTTGCTAATCCATAAGAAAGCGTACGAAAATGTTTACAGAGCGTGAACGTGTTTTGAGCGCGAACGATATAGGGGATGAGAATGTACTAACCGATCGAAAACCGCACCTTGGGAGGATAGTCACGTCCCTTACAAAGTTTAACTGTGCACAACTGATAATACTATTGAATACCGGTATGAAATAATGGTATTGGTATTCGGTTCGTGACTCAAAGACAAAGAAATTTGTTAACACATCTCGCCATCTCATTAATCCCATTTCCTTACAATTTATTTTGCACCATATTCATATTTCCCGACCAATAAATTGCTTAAATCGGAAAGGAAACGAA